GACCACACCGAAAGGAGGGTCTTCAGGTCAACTCTGGTCAACTCGGAGGCCACACATTCCCCACTTGCACTCGTCCTTGAGGGCCTTCATTTCCAACGCGAACCACACGGACCCTGCCAGCCAGCACCGAGACAAGCAACAAGGGAGAAAAAGAGCGTGGTGCAGTCCAGACCAGAAAGTTCCCACTCTCACTCGCTCGCACTCGCCTTGACTTGAGGGCAGTCATTGTAGACGCGAACCACACAGAGCTTGCCTGCCGGCACATGCAACCTCATCAGCAACATAGCATCTACCAGAAGCAGCAGCAGCAGCAGCAGCAGCAGCAGCAGCAGCAGCAGCAGCAGCAGCAGCAGAAGCAGCAGCAGCAGCATCAGCAGAAGAAGCAGCAGCAGCAGCACTCATCCCAGCCGATATACAGCAGACGCCGATGGGGCTGCGGGCAGCCAGTCACCAGCATTAGCCTTCGTTAGGCACCAACACCAGCATTTACCAGCACGAGCAGCACTCACCGTCGCGCCCCCAGCCAATACATGGAGCAGAAGCCGATAGGGTCCGTACCCTGGCAGCCATCACCAGCAGCACTTGCCATCACCAGCAGCACTTGCCATCACCAGCAGCACTTGCCATCACCAGCAGCACTTGCCATCACCAGCAGCACTTGCCATCACCAGCAGCACTTGCCATCACCAGCAGCACTTGCCATCACCAGCAGCACTTGCCATCATTACCGCCACCAGCAGCACTCACCGTCGCGCTCCCAGCCAATGTACATGAAGCAGACGCTGATAGGGTCGCGGCCAGCCAATCATTAGCACTTGCCATCATCACCATCACGGCCCCAGCCGATGTACATGGAGCAGACGCCGATGGGGTCCCTACCCTGGGAGGTGCCAGAAACCAGCACTTGCCATCACCAGCCACCAACAGCAGCAGCAGTTACCAGCACAAGTAGCACTCACCATCACGGCCCCAGCCGATGTACATGGAGCAGACGCCGATGGGGTCGCGCGCAGCGATGAAGGAATTGTCTCGCGTGTCGAGCAGCACGAACGCGAATATGCCGTCCAGCTCCTGCACCAGCTCCTCCCCGTGCTCCTCGTACTGGCAGGTATGAGAGAAAGAGAGGAAGAAATAGGAAACACAGTGGAGTCAGGGAGGGGTTACAGAAGGTACTCAGTTCCTATCAGTTCCTTGCTACCGGGGGAGCAATCAGTTCCTTGCATCAGATCACGGGATCACGGCACAGAGCCAGCACCAGCAAAGGAACACTCACCACGCGCGCAATGACTTCGCAGTCGCAATATGTGCTGAAGAAGTGCTTCGCATTGAGGCTTTTTTTAAAAGGCATCACATGTGATGTGATCCCGTGAATGGACGAATGAAGAAACACACGAATCATGCAGACAAGCGCCACGCAACGCAACATTTACAGGTGAGCAATGGCCTCGCAGTCGCTCTCCGTGCTGAAAAAGTGCTTCTTCTTGAGGCTCTTCTTCAAGAGGCGTGAAATGTGATGTCTTTGAGTGCTCAAGGAATCAACACACGAATCATAAACGTAACCTACCACCACGCAACGCAGCGCTCACCAGGTGAGCAATGACCTCGCAGTCGCTCTCCGTGCTGAAGGAGTGCTTCTCCTTGAGCCTCTTCTTCAGCGCTTCGTGGTTGTAAATCTCGCCGTTCACCTGAACGCAAAGAAGCAGCAACACGAAATGCCATGAAACATCCACCTTTTTTTGGTCTAAGAACAGATATCACAATAGAACATGCTCATTTCGACTCTAAAATGAATCATGAGCTTTAGGGGGACCGGAAAAATGTCGCTGTTATTGATAATCCACACGCACCGTGACAATGATCTCCTTGGTCTCGTTGTAGAGCGGCTGGTGGCCAGAAGCGGGGTCGACAATAGCGAGACGCTCGTGCGCGAGGAAGTTGTTGTTGTGCACGTGCACGCCGCTCCAGTCCGGTCCTCGGTGCCTCAGCCTAGAAAGTTATGAAAAAAATAAGAAATGCATGACAAGGATGGTTCCCGGAATGTGAAGTCGAGGCTCTGGGAAATAAAAACGCTCCAAAGGTCGAGGCATAAGAGAGTCAAATGCACAACGAAATTGCACGCTTTCACTATGCATTTGCATGTGTGCTCTCAGAATGACATGCTATAGTAATAGCATGCACGTAACGGCCACCAGACGGAAGCATATTGCTTAGCACTAATCCTAAATCATTGGAGAAAACTCAACGCGCGAAGCATTCAGAACCTCTTAGATTCAGCAACGACCTAAACGTGGTATACGCTCACCTAGCGGAGCACTCGAGCACTCGCGCGCGCATGCCAGGCGAGTCATCGGACGAGCTCAAGCAGGCGAGGATGCCACACATTTTGCGTGATCAACCAGATTCACGGATTGGAAGGGAAGTCACAAGAAAGAAACGCGGGAGAAGCTGTACCAATTTTTCTCCTTCGTGCACTGATTTAGTGCACGGGATAAATGCACTGGATGGCTGCAGCTCCTGAGGTGAATGCAGGAGGCAAAGAACAAATTCCTTCCCCGCACAGGAAGGAAGACTAGAGACTAGGGCAAACTGGAGCAAGGAAAGTGAGCTGGCTGACTCCCAGACCAGTAATTACCAAGGTCTCGACTCGAGAAAGCGTGTGCTGTTCCACTTTACGGTACGTTCTGGTTCAGCGCGGTTAAACGCGGTGGCAATGTAAAACGAACATTTTTGCGACAGATTGTGGAGCAGGTTGGACTGGTGCAATCTCGAGCAGGTTGAATGCTGGACGTTACCGTCAGCTGAGGTGTATTCGGAAGACCGTGATTCGTTGTAAATCAGAGCGGCTCCCTCCCCTCCCTGGCAACACAGTCCATGAAGGGGCCCAAAACTACAATTCCCGGGGTTTGGCGGCGCTGCCCTATCAGGACTTGTGTAACTACCCCGTGTATTCGATTCAACGAGTCATATATATCCACGTCAGCAAAAGCTCATCCAGATGGCCCTGAGTTGCTGCTGTCCACATCAGCAATAGCGACCAAATTGTAATATTCGGTACAAACAGCTTCGCTGTCACATTAAGTTCACAGCAAGTAGTCGTCAAGTAGTTGCGTAACTATTCAGCAAGCGAAAGACATAACAAAGAAAACCAACAATTGGCTCGACTGACAGGGAACCAGACCGCATTCCAGAGCCACTGACCAGACGTCCGCGCCGCATCTCTGGTTCAGCTGGGCCAGGCGACCCGCGCTGACGGCTCCGCAGGGCAAGGTCCACAAATCTTTTGTTCTCCAGAGAAGTCTCAGAATGTGTTTCAATCCCGTGTCAGACATCAAGTCATGCGGCCTTAGTCTCCAATTTGTCTCTTCCGAACTTCCAATCGCCCCAAAAACGAGCCACTTCGGGTCTTCCGAACCTCCACTTCGTGTCAAACCTAACGTCTGACACGGGCTAGAAACGCACCCTCAATCTCAATTCAGTTCGGTCAGTCATACAACCACCTTTTCTTGGAATTGGAAGAACTGAGCTCTTGGCCCTAATCAAAACCTCCACCACTTTCGGGTAGTGGAAAATTCAATCCCCCCTTCTATGAGGACACGCACAAAGTTTGCACCGGTATAGGATAGCTAAAAAAACTGGGAAACCGGAGTCGTTACCTTCCAAACACAAAAGGCCTTATGTTTCCGCCCTTGCTTCTGCCCTGGATCTTCCGCCAAGCATCACCTGCTCCAGCACAAATTCCATGTTGTTCCTTCTGACGGAATCTCCTGCCCTTCGCTTCTGCCGCGGACAGTGGGGCCGCCATGCAACTCCAGAAATTCAGCCGTCGCTGCAGGTCTTCGCTCAACTCATTTGTTCGCACACCACGTCGGCCTCAGAAATTCAGCTGTATGTCTAATGACAATGTCAACAAGGAGTATGCTCGGGACGAAATTCGAGCATTCGTGCCTTGAATCTAGAGGCCGCATTGAGTCACCAGCAATAGCAAGCGAGTTTCAGGGAATTCAAAATTCCTCAGCCTTTGTACCTCCACATGCGGGCAGTGTCGCCTCGTACCGCCACGCGGGCAGTGTTTCTGCGTAAGTGAACCCGCTAACTTCGTTTCGTTCCACAGGTCACATCGATTCAGAGCACCTCTTCGCGGCACAGGCGCAGAATCCCGCAATCCTCAAGTCGCAGCAAGCTCGCCGTCACACAAACACTCCCGTGCGATATGCGACTCGCCGGTCCACTCACAGGCGTGAGTATGTCGCATCAACTTCTCGTTGATACGATGAAGCCGCGAAGACCGTTCGGCACGCCAGGAATCTTGGCCTGCTTTCTCCTCGTTGTACTGGTGCTAGTTTCGTTCCATCCTGTTACCACTCTCGCGAAAGGGCATTTAGTCGGCGAACAGTTGCTGTTACCACATGAGGAATCGCGCGTCGTTTCGCAGAACATGGAGATCCTCCTCGCGACCGGAACGAATCAGGAATTTCTGCAGACGGCGGAAACCGTTGGCGGAACTGGCGGGAATTCCCCGAGGAAAGGCGGAAAGAGAAAGAAGGGTAAGACACAGATGGAAAGGGTAGGCAAGAGTAACGGCAAGAGCGCAGGGAGCAAGAGCGGAAGCAGGATAGCCGGCGGAACCGAAGCCTTTCTCGGCAATCTCAAGGGCGGTGGAAAGGGGAAGGGGAAGGGCGGGGAAAGCGGAGGCCGGAACGGGAAGAAGGGGAAGAAGGGGTCCTGGGGGATTGCGCTGCGCAGTCTGCCGATTTGGAACGCCGCCAAGTTCCAGCTGAAAGCGCGCCGAGCTGCCGCGGGGTTGAAGAAGGCGACGGCGCAGGCGGGCACGGCGCGCGGGCAGGCGTTGAGTCTCGTGCGTCAGTGGTTGGCGGAAGGAGCGCGCGCGGGTGCGGGTGCGGCCACGCGGGACATGTGGACGCAGGTTGCGCGCGACTGCGTGCACCAGGTACGACGCGGAAGGAATCCGTGTACGATGAATTTTGAATCCATGTGAGCAAATGCATGGAAGAGCCGCGAACCACCCGGCTGATGTGACAACTGCCCCGCCCTTCAAGCCCCGCTCATCCCCATCCCTCTCCCCGTACCCCCATCCTTCCCCCTCTCCCCTCACTTCTCCCCCCCGACTTCCCTATCCTCCCCGGTCTTCCCCCATCCCCCCCGGTCTTCCCTCATCCCCCCGGTCTTCCCCCATCCCCCCAGGTCTTCCCCAATCCCCCCCGGTCTTCCCCCATCCCCCCCGGTCTTCTCCCATCCCCCCCGGTTTTCCCCCATTCCCCCCCGGTCTTCCCTCATCCGCCAGATGTCGCTTTTGCAGTTCAGCATAGATCGCGCGGCGGAGATTTTGGAAACGGGCGACGCGGACGCGTCGGACGCGGTCTTTAAGCTGTCTGGCGCCGCAACGTTGGCGGACAACTGCCAGGGCGCGTTCGAAAACGTGCGGCGGACGGAGAGCGCAGCAGGGGGGGATGGCGGAGGGAGCGGGCGGTACGACATGACGGCGCAAGTGCGGGTGAGTGGGGATTTTGAGCGCGCAGGGGTGCCACGCGCGCATGAGCTGCCACGCGCGCATGAGCTGCCATGTCTGGAACGAACAGTAGTGAGTGATTTCTCTTACCCCTTATTCAGTATTCCTCACTGCCTTTGCCCCCCGCCCTTGCCATGCCTGCGTCTGCCATCCGCTTTTCCCATCAGGAAACGGCGGCAGGGCTGTGGGGTCCATATCCATGTCTCACCTTCCAAATCCCTTCTTCCCCACCCACTGTAATCCCATCATGAAACGGCGGCGGGCAATCGTGACTCCATCGTGGCTCTCCAGCAGCGGACCCTCGACCTGCAGCAACGGGCCATATCCATGTCTCACCTTCCACTCCCTTCTTCCCCACTGCCCTGCCCTGTTGCTGTCCCCTGTTGGTGTCCCTTCTTCCCCACTGCCCTGCCCTGTTGGTGTCCCTTCTTCCCCACTGCCCTGCCCTGTTGGTGTCCCTTCTTCCCCACTGCCCTGCCCTGTTGGTGTCCCTTCTTCCCCACTGCCCTGCCCTGTTGGTGTCCCTTCTTCCCCACCCACTGCCCTGCCCTGTTGGTGTCCCTTCTTCCCCACCCACTGCCCTGCCCTGTTGGTGTCCCTTCTTCCCCACCCACTGCCCTGCCCTGTTGGTGTCCCTTCTTCCCCACCCACTGCCCTGCCCTGTTGGTGTCCCTTCTTCCCCACCCACTGCCCTGCCCTGTTGGTGTCCCTTCTTCCCCACCCACTGCCCTGCCCTGTTGGTGTCCCTTCTTCCCCACCCACTGCCCTGCCCTGTTGGTGTCCCTTCTTCCCAATACACTGTAATTCCATCAGAAAACGGCGGCGGAGCTGCGGGATTCAATCGTGGCTCTCCAGCAGCAGACGCTCGACCTGCATCAGCGCCTGTTCCTCACTGCCCTTGTCCCCTGCCCCTGCTCTGCTGTGTTTGCCATCCACTGTAATTCCATCAGGAAACGGCGGCGGAGCTGCGTGATTCAATCGTGGCTCTCCAGCAGCAGACGCTCGACCTGCAGCAGATCGCAGCTGCTGCTGCCGCTGCTACTGATGATGCTGGTGATGGTGATTCTGATGCCGCTGCTTCTGCTCCTCCTGCTCCTGCTGATGGGAGAACAAGCAGCGACGCTCCTTCAAATCCGTCGAATGACGTGGCACCGCCAACGCCATCCTCGACCCAGGAGGACGTGGCGGTCCCAGCCTCTCTCAGCAGCAACGACCAGAGCACCAGTGAAAGGGGGCCACGTGGCAGCAGTGTAGAATCAACCCCGGCCAACGGCCAGGATGGTGCCGCAGCATCTGACGGTCGATTGCTGGCTGAATCGTGGCCGTACATGATGGGAAGCGTTAAGGGGAAGGAGGAGAGGAGGGGGAGGAGGATGAAGGATGGGGGTGTTGGGGAGAGAGGGGGGGAAGAGGGAGATGTAGGGGATGGAGGGAACGTTGAGACGGAGGGAGGAGAAGTAGAAGTGGGAGGAGTCGAGGGGGAACAAGTGGCAGGAGGAGGTGAGGAAGCGGGGGAGCCAGGGGGGGTTGTTGGGGGAGGAGGAGGAGAAGTGGGAAATGAAGAGGGTACGTCGAGCCTGCAAGACCCCTTGACCCCTCAAGACCCTTACTCGGACCTTGATCCTTCTGTCGGCCCTGTTGGATCTTCTCCTGACGTGCCTGACGTCGTAAACGGCTCAGCTGCTGATGTGGAAGGCCCCACTGCTGACGTGGTTGGGCCCACCGCCAGCACAGAACCAGCAGAAACTGAGGGACAGAAGAGCAATTCCCTCTCTCGCCCCTCCTCGTCCTCCTCCGCTTCCGCCTCCTCCTCCCTCCTTCAAGCCAACGGCACTGCTGACCCCCCAACGGCTCCCCCTTCTTCCCCCCCGCCCACCCCTCCTCCTCCCCCCAAGAATCCCCCCTCAATTCCCCCGGATTGCCCCAAGCCCATTGTGCGTCCTCCCCCTCTTCTTGCGCCGTTCTCCATCCCCCGGCTTATGCCCAACCTGGTAGTGGCACAGGACGGGTCTGGGGACTTCACTACTATCCAGGTAACAATTGACAGTTTTATTTATGTAAATAATGTATTTATTGTTTCTATGCTGACAACCTTTCTCTAGTTATTCCACTACTCTACCCTTGTAACAGCCAGTGTTTTTTATATTATTCTGTGTGCTTTCGCCCATCCAATGTGCAGGACGCGCTCCTCGCAGCTCCCAAGAAGCCCAAGGGCCGATTCGTGATTCTCGTGATGCCAGGTGTTTACAGCGAGCGCTTCGAAGTTGGGAAACCCAACATCACGCTCGTGGGGCTGACTCCCGCTCTCACAGTAATCACAGGAAACGCGAGTGTCGGCACCAACTACACTACATTCAACAGTGCCACTGCTGGTACGATGAATTTCATATCCTTTTTGTTTTATCTATTAGCAGACTCTCGAGTGCCTGCAGTTGATGGTTCAGAAAATGAGCTTTGCAGCACTTTACTTATGAATCAGACAGCCTTTGCTCTTCTTCTCGCAATCTTGCACTTCCACCCCTCCCACACTCCCTACCATACCCCTTCCTCTCCAACCCTCTGTCAGCTATTGTGGGTGACTATTTCGCAGCGGTGAACATTCGATTTGAGAACACAGCAGGCAAAATCAACAACCAGGCGGTGGCTCTGAGGGTGTCGGCGGACCAATGTGCGTTCCACAACTGCGAGTTCTGGGGCTTTCAGGTGAGAACACACATGCCTATTGAAGTTGATGCAAGAACGGCCTCCGCAACCCACCTGTTTGCGGCAAAATCAACAACCAGGCGGTGGCTCTGAGGGTGTCGGCGGACCAATGTGCGTTCCACAACTGCGAGTTCTGGGGCTTTCAGGTGAGAACACACATGCCTATTGAAGTTGATGCAAGAACGGCCTCCGCAACCCACCTGATTGCGGCAAAATCAACAACCAGGCGGTGGCTCTGAGGGTGTCGGCGGACCAATGCGCGGTCCACAACTGCGAGTTCTGGGGCTTTCAGGCGAGTAAGATGAGTGTGCATTCATTCGTGCAGGACGGTACATGTGAGGATCATGTGGTTTTCCTTGGAACGAATGGGATGCTAGGTGGTGTCCAATTTCAGGTGTGATCTGGAGATTTTGGTATTATGGGATCAATCACATTGTAATACCAAAGGAGGACATCAATTCGTCTTCCACGACTGCTGATAGTGCAGCTTTCAGGTAAACAGACATAACTGCGGGTAGGGCGTGACTTCAGTTGGGAGTTGTTCTCTCTGGCAATATGAAAGGCATAGACCCAGAAAGCGTTCTTTTAAACAGGGCACCTACAGTTTCAATCCAATCATATCCTCTTTAACCTTGTGCAATGCTGTTCAACCGCACTCACTGATGTTCTGTATTTTGCAGTTTTCCCGGTAACCCTCCTCGTCTCTAGGATACACTCTACACCCACAGCGGCCGTCAGTACTACCGCAACTGCTTCATAACCGGCAACGTGGACTTCATTTTCGGAAATGCAGCTGCTATTTTCGACAACTGCACGATTCAAATCCGCCAGCACACCAGCGGCGCCCCTGTTGCAGCCTCCAGCCGCCAAACCTCCACCGACCCCACTGGCCTCGTCATCATGAATTCCCGGGTAGTTGGCGAAACCACCCGTTGTGTCACGGGCTTTTTGGGCCGCCCTTGGAAGAGCTACGCACGTGCAGCGGTGATAAACTCGTACCTCTCGCCTCAAATCAGTTCGCTCGGATGGATGGATTGGAACGGGCAGGTGAATGATACAATAAGTTTTATCGAGTTCAACAATACGGGGCCGGGGACCAACGGGCCGCGTGTGCCGTGGATGCGGCCAGGGATTTTAGCGAATGTGACTGCAGTGAGTGATTTCTTACCGGAGAAGTTCCTGTACCCGTTTGGTGTGATTAGGGCGCTGCTTCCGTGGCTGTGAGCCGCCTTGGTCAGCGGCTTGTGACAGTTGCTGCAGTGTGGGTAATCAGTGTGACTGAAACCGTAAGTCGTTGGGCAAGTCTGGCTCAGGGCCTTGTGTAAGATAGGACCACACCAGGTTGACAGAGTGACAGGGTGATAGGGTGACAGGGTGACAGGGTGAAAGGGTGACATGGCGGTAGGGTGATAGGATGACAGGGTGACGGGATAGGGCTGTGGACTGGGTTTGCTCAGCCGCGAGCTAGGTATGGGGGTTTTGGACACGTGCAGTGCAGTGCCTCTCATAGGAAGGACTCTCAATCCCCAGGCATGTGCTTTGCGCAAGCACAGGCATGCAGTGCACTGCTGCAGTAGTGGATTGGAGTGCCAACTGCAAATCCATGTGTTTTCATTCTCCGTGGGGTGGTGTGGTGTGGATTTGGTGCTGTACTGGCATTACTTGCGAGGTCCAAGCCTTGCGCACTGTGATGTGATACTAGTGCGATGAAAGTGTTAGCTTGAGTGCAGACTCACCCAGCGATAGAATGTCACATGTCAACACCTATTGGCAACTTTTGAATGCCCTGACTGCCATAGCAAGGTGTGGACGAGACATACCACTACCAAAGCAATTAGCAGGTACCACTGGAACGGATGCTTGGAAGCAACATAGCCTATTCGAACCAGACTTTCTAGATAACTACAAAATTTCATACACACTCAGGAATATAGGAGTTCAGTAGGACAGCTTGACGCTGTGCCTGTGGAGCAAAAACTTTTGCAGACATAAGTGAGGCTCACTTCTTGCCTTTCCCCATGGTCTGCATGAACACTGGCCAATTCGCCTTAAATTCCGTCCAGCCTAACAGCGAACCTTCTCTAAGCGGATCCCAGCTCGTGGAGATCACTCCGTAAGAAATCCCTAATCCCGAGCCGCCGAAGGTGAACAACGACGTAAGTAGCGGCAGCCAATCCGGAACGTCCACTTTTTGGATGACCTTCAGATAGTAGAAGAGCGGGAAAAAGGACAGGCCGATGAACAACGGCACGCCGACGGTAAACGCGAGCCGCTTCAAGATGCGATTTGTAACCACTTCGGGAACTTCATCGTCAATGTCTTCGCGAACGGTCTTCACAACGGGTTCCTCCTTGACCTGTTCGGCCTGCTTCGGCGGAGACGCGGGTTTCACGGGCTTCGTTCCGAATCCTTTGGGGGATTGCGACAACGCTCTAACTGACACCGCACGGCGGCAAATATAGGAGCTTCCAGGAGCAGAGCGACAGCGGGACTGCAGCAATGTCAACTGGGACGTTGACGATGTGAGGGAGCTTAGCCGACTTAGCGCCTGGACCCCCATCGCGAGCTCCTGGACTTTGAGCTGAGAGGCCTTACTTGCACGAGGGAACACAAGTTACCAGGTTCTGACAGCTGCAGCTAAGGGCGTGTCCAGTTCGTTCATTTCGGGATTTTTCGTGCCAACACACGTATCGAGGTTCAAAAATGACCACCGTACCTAGAAACGAATGTATTGTAAGTGGAGTCCAACCATCCTGTAATTTCAGAAGCGCGGACATATTCCCCGCCACACGAATCAACAGTGCTCTGACCACGTTGAAAACGAGGTAACAGTTTCCCTCGTCAATCATAGCTTGAGAATTTTTGTGCAGGCGCAGGGGGCGTTGGCGAGTAGAGCGAACCACTGACGAAATCGTGCAAGCGATACAAGGGGCACGAACTGTAGTGGCCAGGACGCGGTGCTGTACCCTTGTTCGCGTCCCTGCTGATTCGAGTACGTGAGTCAGACGACTCTAGGTACGTGCAGGGGGCGTGCCGTCTTGTGAACGAAAGCTGATTGTGTCCGCTGGACACGTTCAATACAGGGTTACCACCAAAAATGTGGTAACTGATGGGGTTTACGAACAGTAAATGTACGAGCTGGACACCCCCTAATCCCAAGTTCAATGGGATGGGAGCTATGGGGGAGGAAACTTGGTTTGCGAACTGGATTGGAGACTGGACATCTGTGAGTCGATAAGGGCGCGAAACATCCGGCGAATCAGAGATTGTACATTTTGGTTCTCTTGCTGCGTTTGAGTACGATGGAGTGCAATTCTGAGAGGTCCCAACACTTGTAACCGTGACTCACCGTTTTAAACACTGGAAGATGATCTTTGAACACAGCAAGCTGTGTGACGCGCTGGAGTGTCAAGGGGTTAGGGGGAATGACGAAAGTGCTCTTCATGGTTCCGACCAATGAGCGCCCGCTCTCTTCCCAAACCCCCAATCTCGACTTTCCCGCCCGTGATTCTCCGCCACCCCTTTCCCCAGGCGGCCCCAAAGCGAGCCTTCCCAACCAACTCCCCCATCCGCCAGTAGTACCCCCCATTTTGCCCTCTCCAAACCAAATCCTTCCGAAAGACAGGTTCTCGATAGAAGCGTGACATATAAAAGGGTGTTCTTTAGCGACTCGTTCAGCGCGTCGCGTGTTCAGTCTGATGGACGGACTCGGCGCCGTCCACCTCGCGCGGCTCGATTCTAAGTCTTGCTGGATTGGGGTTCCACGTCGTCGTCGAATGGCGGGGCCACTCTCCGGCAGGAATAGTCGACTCTGTGGAGCCGAATCTGGACAAGGCGACTCGCTGTTGCTCCGATTGTTTAAACCATACTCTTCAAGATCAATGCAATACCATTTCGTGCAGCACCTAACAGGCCTTCTACTGTTCGCTGCTACTCCAAGTTTCTCCGATTCGCGTTTTCCAATTTGACCTACATGGCCATTTGCGCTGTAAGCACCCACCTTTTTATTCTCTACCTCGCTACAGAATCCGCCGCCATCTTTAGAAACCTCACCGTTTTCCACCGCGCAATTCCGCGTCGCGCTCTCAACATATCCCCGCGTTCGACCCCGCTGCAGCCCTGGGCGCAGCAGCAGGGGCCATGTCCGGCGCCGTCCCATCAGCAGCCGACACGTTAGCCAGCACCATCGCGCAAGCTCTAGGCTGATATCCGTTCGAAGACGCGGGATTTCAGGCCCTATCCCCAAATGCGGTTTCCTTCGATCTGCTGGGTCCGCTTGGTCTCCCTCGCTGCGCTTCCCCGTTGTATCCGGCGGTGCGCTCGTGCTCTCCCGGCAGCATAACGGAGTTTTGAGACGTCTCAAAACTCTTTTTTTTTTCAGCGGTGCGCTCATGCTCTCCCGGCAGCATAACGGTTACTTCGAGGCTCGTGCCCCTGAGCCTCGAAGTCGTCACTGGCGCTTCCCCTAATGCTGTCGGAATCATAGCGGACAAAAAAAGGGGCGGTTGCAAGGTTGCGATGGACGCGACAGTCCCGGCGAAGTACTGCAAGTGCGAGGCGGCGAACCTGGCACACGCTGATAATAAACTCTATGCCACTGGACAGGTGAGTGCTACACTAGATTGAAAGGTATGTTTTTATTGAAAAGTTTCTTCCCACATATCTCCCCTTCCTCCTCCCCCTCCCTCCCCCTTCCCCCCCCCCTCCCCCCCACCCCTCTCCTTCCCCACCCTCCTCTCCCTCCCCTTCGTCTCCCCCCCCCTGGTTTCAAAACCATCTTCAAGATGTGTACACAAGTTGTGTGCACTCTGAGTGGTGTTCTCGTCTTGGCCTGATTCCTCTTCTCAGTATCGCTCATATTTTTTCCCTGTGCATTTGCTCCAGTGCACTTAATAGATATACCCGCCAAATTTCAGTGCATTTATGGTATAAGCTAGGCATGAATATAGCTTGAAAGGATGGGGTTGCTAATCTGCCAAAATCCCATCTCCCTTCTCCGGCCTGCCTAGCTGTATACCCGCACGTTCCAGAAGAGCCCACCGTTGCTTGCAAGTTCGTCAATGAGAAGGGCAAGAAGTGTTTCGACGCGACTCTAAACACGACTCAAAACGCGACTCAAAACGCGACTCAAAACACGAAGAATGCACCGATGCTTGCAAGTTCGGCAGTGAGAAGGGCAGGAAGTGGAATCAGGTGAAGGTCGGAACTGGTGGGGGTCTGAGGGTGGAAGATTTTGAGTGACGACGAGAGGGGCGTGGATGTTTCTAAGGCTGCTTGCAATGCTGCACTCTTGTTCCATAGCCCCTCCCTGCCGTCCCCTTCCCTACTCACTCTCCCTCATTCTCCCGTTTCTCACTTTTGTAAGCTGCGAAACACAGGGGACGAAATGGTGGAGGAGGGTGGCCCTGATGTTGCATCCCCCCATCTCTCTTGATCACCATTTTTCCCCTCCTCATCTCCCTCACTCCTCCATATTTTTTCACCCACACCTTCCTTGTCCCACTTTTCCCCTCCACTACTTTTCCCCTCCCCATCTCCCCACGAGTGGAAGCTGGGATGAGCGGCAGCTGAGTCGTGTTTTGAGCTGGGATGAGCGGCAGCTGAGTCGTGTTTTGAGTCGAGTCAAAGCACGAGTGGGAGCTGGGATGAGAGGCAGCTGGGGGTGTTTGTGGCGCTGCACTCTACTCTCTTCCCGGCATCCCTTCGACCTTCATTATTCTCTCCTCTCCCCTCTCCCCTTGTTCTCCCCATCTCCCCCAGGGGTGGAAGCTGCAATACAAGGGGTACGAGTGGGAGGAGTGTGTCATTTGTGACGGGAGGACGAATGGGGCAAGGGTATTTCTGTTGACTCGCTCTCACCTTCCTCCGTAACCCCCCTCCTTACCACTCCCCCACACTGTTTCCTCCCCATGTCCTCTGGGGTGGAAGCTGCAATACAAGGGGGACGAGTGGGGGGAGGAGTGTGTCATTCGTGACGGGGGGACGAGTGGGGGGAGGAGTGTGTCATTCGTGACGGGGGGACGAGTGGGGGGAGGAGTGACGGGGGGACGAGTGGGGGGAGGAGTCGTGACGGGGGGACGAGTGGGGGGAGGAGTCGTGACGGGGGGACGAGTGGGGGGAGGAGCCGCTGAGGGTGTTTGTGGCGCCGCACTCCCACAACGACCCCGGCTGGCTGCTGACAGTCGAGCAATACATTCTCTCTCACACTCTGCACACTGCCCACCAGGAGCGCGCAGCGCATCCTGCACTATATCCTGCGCTATATCCTGCACTATATCCTGCACTATATCCTGCACTATATCCTGCACTATATCCTGCACTATATCCTGCACTATATCCTGCACTATATCCTGCGCTCTCTCTTTCCCAGGCCACCCTCTCTCGCACGCCACTCCCCCTCTCAGTCCCAAGTTCTAGCTCTCTCTGCTCATCTCACTCGCCCTCCTCATTCCTCTTAGGACTTTTGAGGCGCCTCAAAAGCCAAGTTCTAGCTCTCTCTGGTCATCTCACTCGCCCTCCTCATTCCTCTTAGGACTTTTGAGGCGCCTCAAAAGCCAAGTTCTAGCTCTCTCTGGTC